AGGAGCGGGCGGGGACCCGGGGGATTCCGTTTATTAGCGGTTAACGTCCCTTAAGGGCTGGCTATTTAAACCCTGATCCCCAGAGGATCCTCCTCGAGCCGAAGCCGGGCCGGGCCATCAGCCCGCGGGCAGGGCCAGGAGCAGGCCCAGGGGGGTGACCACGGTCAGACGAGCCCATTAAGGCCTATTAGTAACTTCACATCCTTTACTAAAACACCGGAGAATACACGCAGAAAAATGACTGTTAAAAAAGCCTCGGCTGGGATGTCTGTCTCGTTAAACATGAGAAAATTCAAGCATGAGACAGAAATGAGACTTAGTAAGTCCTGCTGCTCGTGGTACTTCTTGTTTATACAAGTTGAGCGTGATTCTGGAAGTAAACCAGGATTTGGAGCTCACAAATCACCAATACGAGCAGTGAGTGCGTGGCGGACGCTTCTCTTCCGTAATAGGCTGTCGGTGGAGGTCTGCCTTGGTGCTGGAGGAAATATCTGGCCTTTTTTGTGCTGCTGGGAATTTAAGCTGCCGTAACAGAAAAGAAAACACCTTTTTGGTGACCCCGTAACAGCGAGAATTAAGAATGTCATCGTTTTGCTCAAGGAGAATGAAAGTGTAGAGGAAGGCTTCACATCTCAGATACGACCCCTTGCGAGTTATATTAATGACTTCAGTGCCGGGTCTGTAAGATAAAACTGCAGAATTTCAACGAGAGCTCAAGTAAACACCGTGGACGTGCAGGATCGTTGAGCAGCCGTTGAAGCGCTGCTTAATGCCTGTGCACTCTTAAATTCAGCTATTTCCTCGTGCGGCATGGCGTGGGGAGGTCGTTTATTCCTTTCAGGACGCAAAGCTTATTTGCGTCGTGCCCTATTTAGACGCGGAGGTCGTGGGAGGAATTTGGCAGCATCCCATCTTGACCCGAGGTCAGTTTTCCAAGCGCCAGGGTTGACCCCAGTTAAGGCACGGAGGTGTTTGAAGGCGGGTTGCTCCGGACGGGCGCACAGGCGTTTTTTATTACTTAAATGCTTTGTGCAAAACCAGGCAGCTGGGGAACCCTCCGGCCGTCGCTAGGCAACGCGGCCCCGCCCCCCCCGGGCCCCCCCACCCCCGGGCACGCGGCGGGGGGCGGCTTC